AAATGAAGAGCATTTTTCCAAGGGTACTTCAAAATTATGAATGCTAATTTATATAAAATGGTTACAACATTCAACCTTCACTCACACCACTGAAGTGAATAGAAGTGCTTAGAAGACTGCTCATCAGCATGAATGAGGGTTACACAACCAGGGCCTAAGCAATGAAAATAATTATTGTTAGGATATTGACCAGACTCTTCTCTTCTTTGTGAATATGGCAGTTGTGGATGGATGAAAGAGGCAAACATAGAATCTGCACATAGAATCATGCACACAGAATCTGTTCTGGGAAATCTGATCTCTTTGGTCTTTAGACATGTTGAAGCACAAGTTCTCTTATCTTCAGCCTAGCAAAGTCAAAATATTAGCCACACTTTTCAAGTATTTCTGAAATGTGTTTATATTTTTATACATGATGATGCATTTATTACTTGTGTTGATAAATACTGTTTATAAACGTGGCATTAAGATAAATTCATGAAGACCAGAACAACAATGGAGACCTTTAGAAATGGTGACAGATGCTTTTAAAATAGAATTTATTTTAAAATACCCCCTAACAAATGAATTGTGTGACATTAAAAATGCATGAAGGGGACAGTCTCCTGTTTAGGCGTTTGCATTTTCTATGGTAAGTAACTTCTCCTCCTCTTTTTTTTTCTTCTAAACTTTTCAGGTAAAAGTACTCCTGTAAGCCAGCTTGGGTCTGCAGATTTTACCAAGCCCCATGATCCATTCCAGCCATTTGGGGCTGACAGCAGTGACCCGTTTCAAAGTAAAAAGGGGTTTGGGGACCCATTTAGTGGAAAAGATCCATTTGCTCCCTCCTCTTCAAGTAAAACTTCTAAAGACTCTTCCTTGGGGTTTGCAGACTTCAGCTCTGTAAGTTAAGTTCATTGTCTCTGAGCAAACCACTTTCTGCTCTGCTTGCAGCAATCTCTTGGGTTTTTTGTTTTAACTGCAAACCTACTGTCCACTGGCTTCTGCCTCTTAGTCCCTTCATGCTGTCCCCACTGTTGCTCTGTATGAATATTTCTGTATAAAAAGGCATTATCTCTCAATAAAACAGGAGTTTTGAGTTTGATACTAAACTTTAAAGGATTTATTTGTTTTTGAATTATTTAGTACAGTGTGCCTTTTTCTCCAGTTCTTTGTAGAAGAGTCTTTGTACTGTTTTTGTTGCATGGAGGCTGTCTTGTAATTGATTTATGGGCACCAATGATGTTAAGACAAATCTTCAGAAGCAATTGTGGAAGGTATTTGTACAGCAGTTTCACCATATCCTGAAAGTATATATTTAAAGGATTCCATAAAGTATATGTACCTGTTTGAAAAAGTTCTGACAATCTCGTCGCAATGTTTTCTGTACGCAATGGAATGCAAATTATCCATATATGAGAGAGAGATTGAAAGCTAGCTATTGAATTTTGTTCCAATTATTGATTTTTTTTTTTTTTTGTAGAGAATCCCTTGTTAGACAAAGCAAACGCAAGCTTGTTTTGTAGGACCAGTATAGTAATGTCCATATGGCATCCTATAATACAAAATCAAAAGGCCTTACAGCAAAGCCAAGTGCCTTTCAAGGAAGAAATACCAGGATTTAAAGAAGTCTGCCTTTGTTTTCTAGTTTTGGAAGACACGTGGATTTGAACTCGTAAACGTAGCAGTAGCTTGACTGTTCTTAACGCTACCATTGGTAAATAGGAAATCGGTTCCATCCACAGCCTCAGGCTTCTTCCTTCTTTCGTGTGTTTTTGTTCTACATTGCACTGCCATGCAATAAAATCATCAGCTCCATCTACATTCATAAATCTGGCAGACATAGTTCACTGTTCAGTAGGTTTGGGTGTTCTCAAGTTTTATTTTTTTCAAGTCTTATTATTTTTGAAAGTTTTCCCTACTTATATCAGTTTATAGTAAATATGTATCATTCCCCTACCTGATATATGGTTAATTGAGGTCCTCTATGAATATCTTGAAATGCCCTCAGTACTTTATCTGTGATACTGAAAAGGTCAGATCTCAAAGTAGGCTGTAAGCTTTTACATAATCAGTAAAATTCTGTTGAAAGTCACTGCACAGTTAAAGTCTGTGAATGTATACAAAATGGTAACAATTTATTAATAAAAATAAGACAAAAATCTTGCTTTATTTGAAATTTATTGAATGGCAGCTAGTTTCTTGTATTCTTTATGGGGGAAGGATGCAATGGCTATGCATAAAATGGAATGACTGTTATCCAGCTGTTATCTTATTTACAGACTACATTTCTTAGCTGGCTGCTGAATAATCTGTAAGTGATATACTGAACGGTTAATGTATATAATTTCTTCTACTTAAGTTTTACAGTTAAACCCCTGTGCCATTAAGTTTTTAGGAAATAAGCATAAATTTTGAAAAGTAAAAAAAACTAAGGAAAAAGTGAGATCTGATTAACAATTTACCACTTGGCTAATTAATATTTTGGTAGCATTTTGTTTGGAAAAAATGTAATTCAAAGTTGTTTCATGAAATTTGTTCATTAAAGCCCCCTTTAGAAGTAGAGTTTTGTTTATTTCCCTGTTCTGTTTAAGTATTACTTACTCTCTGATTATGAACAACACATGATCATACTGTCACATTTTATTAATGCTAGACCTGCAAGAAGTCATAGGTAATCCATTTAGCTCCTAAATCAAGAAAGGGACTTCATACGTTTACAGTTTGGGTGATCTTTTTTGGAATTTAAATACATTATTAAGAACAATTCTATTGGCAATGTGTTTTCTGCCCTGAAGTGTGGTTCTGTAGAATCTGAGACTGCCAAATTGATTAGCTGTCACACGCAAAGAAAGCTGAGGACTTTTGTAAGTTTCTGAACAGTTTGGCGTTGGTTGAATTATTCATACGCATAATATTTAAGTCATATGGCCTTATTTTGGTCTAAAACATGAGCCTTGGGAACTGAAAAAATATGTTCTTAGTTTATATTTCAGGTATGTGTGATTTACAACTTCACCTTTCAGGAAAAAGAAAAAAGGCAACATCTCAATAATCTTCAGTCACAGAGAACAGTAACTTTAAAGGAACTAAGAATTCAGAGCTAAGCTCAACGATTTCTCTTTTATATAAGTTAGTAGCAAAGTGAACACAGTTCAGTGCACTTGGAACTTTGTCACATATTTTACCTGCAGGCTTTAGGGGTTGTACCCAACAAACTTATCGGTAATTATTTTAGTGTTATTTTTAGATCCTTTGTACGAAACTGCAGTGGCAATTGCAACCTATCTATGCTAATATATTAACATTTGTATGGATTTTCTTCTTGCTTTATCTTTTCCTGAAGACAGGAGAATGATGCTGTACCGATTTTTTTTTTTTTTTTTTT